ATGTGAACACTTCGAGAGGCTTAGCGAACCGTGAGAAAGAGCTAGCGAACCGTGGGAGAGGCTTGGCGAACCATGAGAAAGAGCTAGCGAACCGTGAGAAAGGGCTAGCGATCCGTGAGAGAGGCTTAGCGAACAGTGAGAAAGGCTTAGCGGGCCATGAGATAGGTTCAGTGGGCCTTACTACCTAGGCGGCTATCATCACATCTTTCTGTCCAGCTTCAGTAGCGGTCCTTACTATTTAGGGCTTACTTAGTAGAATTAACTAGTATTTATTAAGTTTATTTTCATTTCCTCTCGCTTGCTTTAAATCATAACCCCAGTCCTCTCAGTTACTCTCCACTTCTCTTCCCTCCTTTAATCTTTACTTCCCTCCCTCCCTACCCTACCCTTTGCCTATCCACCCCTCTACCCTCCTTCCCTATCTTCCTTACCCTGTCCGCTGAACTCCACCTCACCCGTGATCTCACCAAATTGTCGACCTTTCTCTGAGAATTCATGCATTTTACTCCCATTAGCGACACAACAGCCCCAAAGAAAATGGGATGGGGTGAGGTTCATAGTGTGACCTTTACTTTTTGTTGCTGTAAGTAATTTTTTTTTTTACACGCAAAACAGTGGCATTTGGCTGGCGACTTTCTCGTGTTTATTTTGAAGTGTTGTGGAAATCGGGTGAGAATCAACGCTGCAAGGCGAGGTTGGTGTTATGTGCTCCTGTTTGTCTGTTTCTCTGTCTCTGTCTGTCTCTCTGTCTGTCTCTCTCTCTCTCTCTCTCTCTCTCTCTCTCTCTCTCTCTCTCTCTCTCTCTCTCTCTCTCTCTCTCTCTCTCTCTCTCTCTCTCGCTCTCGCTCTCTCGCTCTTACATACCACATGTTCAACACACGCGCACACACACACACACACACACACACACACACACACACACACACACACACACACACACACACACACACACACACACACACACATAAACCTGGGCCTGGTAGCCTGGTGAATAGCGCGCAGGACTCGTAATTCTGTGGCGCGGGTTTAATTCCCGCACTAGACAGAAACAAATGGGCAAAGTTTCTTTCACCCTGAATGCACCCTGTTACCTAGCAGTAAATAGGTACCAGGGAGTTAGTCATCTGTCACGGGCTGCTTCCTAGTGTATGTGTGTGTGGTGTGGGGAAAAAAAAGTAGTAACAGTTGATTGACAGTTGAGAGGCGGGCCGAAAGAGCAAAGCTCAACCCCCGCAAACACAACTAGATGAATACAACTAGGTGAATACACACTTTTACTAGAGGTGTTAGTTTGGTTGTGAAGGTCACTCACCGACGACATTTCTCTTGCGTCATACAACTGGGACACGGAGGAGCGTGGCCACGCACACACACGCACACCCACTCACAAGCACGCACAGGCCCACGCACACACATTCGTTATATGACAAAGAGTGCTGGGAAGACGGAACACCACGAGCGTAGCTCTCATCCTGTAACTAAACTTAGGTAATTACACTTAGGTAATTACACGCACACACCAGTAGATTGACAGTTGAGAGGCTGGTCCAAAGAGCCAGAGCTCAACCCCCGCAAGCACAACTAGGTGAATATACCCACAAACATAGAAGCTGCAATAGGCAATAGAACCAACCTATCTTCACACTTAATTATCGTACATCAAATTTGACGCTCTGAACCACAATGTACAAATTTAAGTGCTTTTAGGGAATTCCTAATCACCCCAACATTGACGTTTTCTGGGACTAAGGGGAAGATGCCTCCAGAGATTAGGTTCGTGGGCATCTTGATAGTTAAATCCTCTTTCTTTTCGACGTTTGTCAAGTTGAGAAAACCGGTTGGCAAAAGAGCCAGGACTCGGATTTACGAAGCAGTTACGCAAGTACTTACGAACGTGTACATCTTTCCTCTATCTTTGACGGTTTTGGTTACATTTATTAAATAGTTTACTAGCATGAAAACTTGCCAATCAACTGTTATTATTGTTATAAACAGCCTCCTGGTGCTTCGGAGCTCATTAACTGTTTAATAATTGTAAACAAAGCCGCCAACTATTGAGAAAAGATGTACAGGTTTGTAAATGCTTGCGTAACTGCTTCGTGAATCTGGCCCCAGAAGAGTCTCTTTCTCTACGTAAAAAAAAATCCATCCTTCGAACTTAACATGAAACGTACAAACCCAAGCAACCTCCCTAACCTCTCGAGTGCGATGCATAGACAAAAAAACGTAAACATTTGTTAGCATAATAGATAGCATTTATGGTTCTGGTTATCATAACGTAAAGAACGCGACCTATTAGTGGCGAGGACGGGGTGTTGCGTTTCAGAAGATAACAACTCTTCTGCCAGAAGAGTTGTTATCTAAGCCAAAATGTTGTTTTCGCACTCATGATTTTATCACTATAAAACTTCACTTACAAAACTACAGTCAGGTGTTGTAGTGGCAAGAGATACTTTTGTGGTTGAAACAGACTCGCATTACCAAAACATTTGTGTGTGTTAATTGGACTTTAACCCAAATTGTGCCAAAGAAACATGCTTCGCAATGTAGCTAAATTTATTTAAATTTATTAAAATAGACAGAAAAAACGGTTTGTCAAGACTTAGTTTAGAAGAAACTGTCTATCAAGACTTGGCATAGAAGAAACTGTCTATCAAGACTTGGCATAGAAGAAACTGTCTATCAAGACTTGGTATAGAAAAAACTGTCTATTCAGATTTGTTTGGTGTTGTGTTCAAAGCCTCACAACCTCTGAAGGGTTATTAATGCCACCACAATAGTTTACTGACCAACCAGCAAGTATACTTCAGTCCTAGACAATGTTCAGGACTAAAGTATATTCAGTACATATACACAGAGAAGCGAGTAACACCATCTATTAGCGATATGGCTATGAATATATGAAAATATGAATATAGATTAACACCCTCGGGCTCACCATAGCCCGTGCTACTTGGAACTTTCTTCCAGGTAGCGAATCTTTAGCAACAACAACAACATTAACACCCACTTGTGCAAATTCCTTTAAATTAAACAATATATATATTTTTATTCGTATGTTCTTTGCAAATTATCAAAACAAAAAGTTAAAACTTCAAAATAATTACAAAAATAAATGGTCAATACGCTGTTTATGACCTACTGAAATTCACATTTAATTAAATTGTATATAGATCTTAGAGCCTGAATTTTGGATCAATAGTTATACAATTATTTTACTTCAGAAGATAAGATAACAAAATGTAATGTAAACAGGGATAACTGAAGAAAAACACGAAATATTCTCACTAAATCATTTTTAGGATAAACATTTGTACGATGTTGCCACAAATCCTAAAATTATGCTAATGAATAACTCGGTATAATAATGTTCATTTTCCCATTAGGAAACATTAGCCAGAGATATATCAGATTTTGTGAATATTCTTGAATGATAAACAAAACTTAAATTCTTAAGATTCCATTCACCTGGGCTGTATGGGGTCTCGAACCCTGGACCTCCATATATGTGAGGCCTACGCTCTATCGACTGGGCTATGAGTAGTCTTAAAAAGGAAAAAATAAATTGTTTAGATGTTTTCAGTGTTAAATATCAGCTAATGTTACCCACAATCTTACCCTCTGTTCCTAATAATCTCAAAGTGATATCCGTCTTACCTTAAGGGTCCACAAGGTGTTTATTTTTCTTATTCTACCAGTCCAAAATTTTGTTTTGATTATTCTGCCTTCATTGGGGTTAAATTTAACATTAAAAACCTATTTTGAGAGAGCTTTCTTATGTGGGTATTCTGAGTACGCAGAATTAGGTGTCTTGACAGTAAAGTCACGGTTGTGTCCCATTGTTTTCCTACGATAGCTAAACAGTTGTGCCCGTTAATCAGCCCAAATGCGCAGTTTCATTCGAAATGTGCGTTGTTATTGATCTAAATGGAACAGTTCCACTAAGATTCCGTGTACAAAGAGCTCAGTGTCTCAAGATGCTCTTCATATAGCGCAGTGTCTCGAGGGCCTCTTTATATAGCGCAGTGCCTCAAGGGGTCTCTTCATATAGCGCAGTGCCTCAAGGGGCCTCTTTATATAGCGCAGTGCCTCAAGGGGTCTCTTCATATAGCACAGTGCCTCGAGGGCCTCTTCATATAGCACAGTGCCTCAAGGGGCCTCTTTATATAGCGCAGTGCCTCAAGGGGTCTCTTCATATAGCGCAGTGCCTCGAGGGCCTCTTCATATAGCGCAGTGCCTCAAGGGGCCTCTTTATATAGCGCAGTGCCTCAAGGGGTCTCTTCATATAGCGCAGTGCCTCAAGGGGCCTCTTTATATAGCACAGTGCCTCGAGGGCCTCTTCATATAGCACAGTGCCTCGAGGGCCTCTTCATATAGCACAGTGCCTCAAGGTGCCTCTTTATATAGCACAGTGCCTCGAGGGCCTCTTCATATAGCACAGTGCCTCGAGGGCCTCTTCATATAGCGCAGTGCCTCAAGGGGCCTCTTTATATAGCACAGTGCCTCGAGGGCCTCTTCATATAGCACAGTGCCTCGAGGTGCCTCTTTATATAGCACAGTGCCTCGAGGGCCTCTTCATATAGCACAGTGCCTCGAGGGCCTCTTCATATAGCGCAGTGCCTCAAGGTGCCTCTTTATATAGCGCAGTTCCTCAAGGGGCCTCTTCATATAGCGCAGTGCCTCGAGGTCCTGTATCCAACACTACAACCCCCCAAAAGGCCTACATCAAATAATGCCAATAACTGATATTTTAAGCAGTTTGATAACTTACCTACGATTACTCTAGCCCTACGATGCACCTATTCAATTAATAAGGGAAGTATTACACCAGGAGCCCCCCCCCCTCCCCAACAAGGTACAAACCAACATCAACATTAATGTTCAAGTTACACATTGATTGATGCTTCCTTCTGGAATATACTGGCGGTTCTTCGTTCACTTTAATGATGTATAATACGTTTTTTTTTGTTTGTAGACATTGAGGGCAAAATACACCGATATATTTAACATAATTTATTTACAAACAGAGTAATAACAACTAAACCTAAGGTCGAGGAATGCGCTGGGCATAATACTTTGTGTGAGGGGGGGTATGTACAGTGCCCCGGGGTGTGGCTGCCTGTCACGTCTTGCTGTCCCCTGTGCGGGCCACGGCTCTTGGCCACGGTCAATGGCCACGGTCCTTGGCCACGGCTCTTGGCCGCGGTTCTTGGCCACGCCGTTCGAGACGGGCAATCTTTGGGAGAGTAAAGTTTGTACCCGGAGGAAAAGAGCGAGAGTTTGCGTGTGCTCAGGTCATGGCGGGCGGCCCTCGGGCGGCCCTGCGAAGTCGTCTAGTTCAGGGGAATAGCACCAGGGATTGGAGCGGGTCTGAAATTGCCTCCCGCAGGCAATACGGGGCGAGACGGTGGGGAATTCTGCAGGTCATTATCGGAGACGAATTGAGCTTCGTCTTGGACAGGCTCGGTCTGTTGGAGTGTTGGCCGACGGCGCTGTGGACGAGGCACAGGAGGACCTGAGCGAGGGGCCAGTCGTTCCTCTTCGGGTGATGGTGTGGTAGTGAGGACTTCGCAGTCGACGGTGGGTGGGTTGACGCAGCGACGGGACTGCTTGTCGAAGACGAGGGTTGCGGGGCAGCGCTGGAGACGGGGATAGCCTCCCTGGCAGGCCCAGTATCGCTCACATGATTTTCCTAGTGGCACGTTGGCGTTGGGGTCTTCCTTGCACAGAGCTGTTGGCAGAGCAGAAATATTTTCGTGAAATTGGCAATAGACATTACATAGTGTTTAAGAATGACTTCAGTTGCGAATATAGACTTTACGGCGCTAATCAAAGAGTAAAATCCTTTTTAAAACTAAAATTAGCTACAAGTTACAAAACACTTTAGTACTAAATATTACAGTTCATTCAAGAGACGGAACTAAAAGTCTGAATATGTCTCACGATGCTTCTGGCAGCCTCTGACGTTCTGGGGCCAATCACAGGCGTGAGAGTCCTCGTTGTACAGGAGGCCTCCGATACAGAACTGCTCGGTGGCTGTACTGTTCCAGCAGGTCCAGTAGCGGGTACAGGACGTTTCGTGGCCGAAGATACCGTACTTCCAGTCACAGTGTTCGGTCTTTATAGGCGGGTCTGTAAACCGAAGATATAATGCTTTACATCCTTCACATAACCTAAAAAAGTCCACTATGGGCTCACCATAGTCCGTGCTACTTAGAACTTTTTGTTCCAGGTAGCGAATCTTAAACAACAACAACAACTAAACATAAAATAGTCTCGTGTATATGTGTAACTTGTTACATAGTTTATTTGCGACTTCTCAGTAACTCTTGGGTTTTCATTATAAATAAAGAAAGTAAACTGCAAATAGAAATAAAATATGTTTGAATACACAACAATACATGATAGATTAAGCTTTAGTAAACTATAAGAGAAGACTTGAGTCGACCAACTGTTGCTGCTGCTGGATTACTACTTACACATTTAAGTTTTATAATTCTGGACATATATTTTAAATTAAAGTGTGCAATACTTTTAATACAAATTTAAATTACTTTTCTCAATAAGTAATTTACATTCAATTTTTTTTTTAGTAACTCGTTTAGTCAATAGGAAGGTTTAGATCTTCTTGCATATCTGTGTCCTGGCATTTACACCTGGTCTTATGCAGCATTTGTGTTTATTCTTTTGTTTGACTGATTACCTGTTTGTCCATTAGGAAATACAATACTAGCTTTAAAATGCATTTTATACATAGGACCATTACAATTACTAGGAGAAAAATTAATTCATTTTAATTATATAAAAATTCAGAAATGCTACTTTCAGGCGTTTAGAAGCTTCACTAAATTTTTACTTAAGCTCTTTTTTTTATTCTTCTTTATTTTTCAAACTGTATAGAAACCTTGTTCCATGTTACAGTCTTTTTAATAAGTATTTGTTGTATGTCCTAAAGTGAAAGATGTGAGATACATGGCAATGATTTCATTATCAGTTTACTCTCTGCACAATATTCATAGATGTTTCAAAACATCACATATATATATATATAATATATATATATATATATATATATATATATATATATATATATATATATATATATATATATATATATATATATATAATATATATATATATATATATATATATATATATATATATATATATATATATATATATACAGTAACAGTAATGATACTATATATATATATATATATATATATATATATATATATATATATATATATATATATATATATATATATGTAGTATCACTCAAATGTAGATATAAAATCAGAGATACGTTCTAATCAGTTGTGTATTTGTGAAGTCTTTGAAAATGTAATAAGTTTTACGAAACGCGCCCGTGTCGCGTCAGACTAGAAATAAAAATGAATTTTGGAGAAGTGATTTTTGATTTACCTCCAACAGTGAAGCGTAATGTACGAAAGATTGAGAAAATTCGTGTTAGAATTATTAATCTTATTATATATATATATATATATATATATATATATATATATATATATATATATATATATATATATATATATATATATATATATATATATATATATAACTTTGAACAGTAATGCAATGTTAGTTCAATAAAGTAAAATTAGTTCATCCAATTAACTGGATTAATTAAAAACATAAGTTAATTAAATATTGAATAACATATAACGTTTTGTACGAAAAAAATATTGAGCAATAATATTGACTGACAAACCTATGAAAACATCCATTTTCATAACTGGAAAGATGTACTGTGAATATAATGCTGTATAAGGAGTGATTCTGAATCATCTATTGTTGTTTACGTCAAGTCATCTATCATAGTTTAAGTTTTTGAAACTTACTCTGTCTGCTTCTGTGTGTATTAATACCTAATTAATATTAATACCAAATTAATACCTTGATTAGGTATGACAAAGCTCGATTTCTAGTTTCTCGTGCCTTGTAAGTTTATATAGCTGAATAACGTGTTATAGTGATCATGATTCTATAATAATTAAAATATGTAAATTATAGTTGAACTTTTTTGAATAAATACCCAACAACAGACAAGTGTTGAGTATTAAAAATTATATTTTGGTATTAAAAATTATACCCAACAACAGACAAGTGTCAATGCTTGTTAAGGGGGATTAGATAAGATGCAGGCTAGGGAAGGGGATGGTTGTGGTTTGAGGGGACTGACTCACTAGCTAGTTGCTTATTTTCACAATAAGCTCCGCGCCAGGGGTAGTCGCACCCCTCTGTGATGCCTCGATTCCTGCCCACGAAGACCAGCCCGTTGGGGCAGTCGTAGAGCTGAGGGGCGTTCGCGACGCACTCCCAGTAGCGGTCGCAGTAGGTGATGTCTGCGACCACGCGATGCTTCGTGTCGCAGGGGTCTGGTTGTTGCGTCGGCTGCTGCGCCAGGCCTGAAGAGGGACGGGGTGGGGTGGGAGAGGAGAAAAAGAGAGAGGCGTCTTTAAGCAAACTGATCTACTTACTCCGTCCTGGGCGGTCAGTGCAGTCCACGTTGAAGTCGTAGTCACACACGCCAAAGAGTCCCTGAGTGCGCTTGCCGAGGTAGACCAGGCCATTGGGGCAGCTCTGGAGCACTGGCTGACCATCGAAGCACTCGTAGTAAAGGTCACATTGTTCCTCGTGAGCGGAAGTCCTGGTCTTTGATTTACAGGGGTCAGAGAACTGGCGCTGGCCCACGGCTACCAGGTCAAGTCACAAGGCAAATACATCAGGATTTAGCACAAAAAAAATGTCATGTCAGTTCCGCTGAAAAACTCCTTGTCAGTTGTTTGTGCAAAGAGTCGGTAGGGTCGGTTGTTTGTGCAAGAGTCAGTAATGTGAGGTTTGTGCATCAGTTGACAGGCAAAAAAACAATTGCAACACTACAATTATGAGACCTAAGAATATACTATCATTAACGTGGAAGTGGCAGAGTACACTCACTCAAGAGTTCATTAACCTTGTTCCCTAAAAAATTTCGGTGCGCGCATCAAGCTTTCACTTTTCGCGGTGAACGGAGCTACCAATGGCGAGGCGCAGTACAGCGGTGCGTTGGCCAATCAGAGAGCGCTGCCAGCCCCCTGAGGCCCAGAGTGAAAGTTTATATCTGTGTCAGTGAAATATGCTTCTACCTTCCCGGCTAAACATAAGCTTTAACATAAACAAAACTGCCTAGGTTAAACCAAACAAAAATAAAACAGCTCGGGCTATTTGTTTTTTTACGAAGCGCTGAAGCTGTCTGGCCGTCAGTCTGGGCTCTGAATCACAAGGGAAATTAATCGCTATAGCTTCCATGAGCCACAGATGGGAGTATATCATCTGTGGCCCCTACGAGAGAAAGGGCCGTGCCGGACGACCCAGGGGCACCCCGACACGAACGCCTTTCATAACTTCGTGTCATTGAGGCTGATGTCTGGAGACTCGTGTCTCCGGACATCAAAAAAGCCTTACTCTAAGTGTCTCTAAAAGCCTTACTCCGAGTCTTTTATATAGTCAATTTTTAAGGACCATTAGTCAAGCGACCAAGAATTTCAAAACCTATCGGGTTTATGAGCTTATTTAATTACTTTTACTAATTAAAAAAAATATGCTCACACATGCATTGAGGTAATAGTTCTCTGCAGTTTGTTTACCCTGCAATAAAATAAATTGTTTATACCTGAAAGTAGTGCAACTTCGTGGTTTAAATATTCTCTGACAAATGTTTCAATTGAGCCTGCACGGAGAGCTCATAATTTTAATTTGATGCGAACGCTTGATAAATATAAAGTAAGAGTCCTTTTAGGCGTGAATGGGTTTTTGTTTGTTGGCGGCCAATAAAATATTTGATGTGTAATTGTGAGTATATTGTTTATATATATATATTGTGTATATGTGTGTGTGTATCGTGTGCTCATTGTGAGTATATTCTGTGTATTGTGTGTTCATTTGTAATTATAATTTGAGTGAATTGTATGCATATTGTGTGTGTGTGTGTGTAAGTGTATCTGTGTGTGTTTTCAACTGTTTGTGTCGTAAGTGTAGCTCTCTGTATATCATAAAATCAAAATGCAATATAATTAGTCCACACAACATAGTATTAATCACATTAACAACAAAAATTAAATCAAAATCTTTCTCGAACTTGTTATCAATTTAAGAGACACTGCCACTGATTCAAGAGACATTAGCACTGATTCAAGAGACATTAGCACTGATTCAAGAGACATTAGCACTGATTCAAGAGACATTAGCACTGATTCAAGAGACATTAGCACTGATTCAAGAGACATTAGCACTGATTCAAGAGACATTAGCACTGATTCAAGAGACACTACTACTGATTCAAGAGACACTACTACTGATTTAAGAGACTTTAGCACTGATTCAAGAGAAGCTACCACTGATTTAAGAGACAAAGGCATAGACACACTCATTTCACTTCGGGAGCGACAATAATGCTACAATTCAAGTCTAGGCTTCAAACATTCATCTAAATCAAACTGAACATTTCTGTTTTTCAAACAAAAATAAACTAATTACTGCACTATGCAATTATTATAACTCAGTATGATAAAACAAACTTCATTTAAGTTCATTTAATGCAAAAGTGAATGTAGAATTATCTTTCACAATGCAAGCATCAAGCAACACAATGCAAGCATCAAGCAACACTGTCATGATTTTTTAACATCACAAATGCGTCAAGTTGATATAGTGTTCCAGAAAAAAATGAGAAAGCCTCAGTTGTATAAACAAGACTATTACAGCAATATAAACAGACACACATGACAAAAAAACAAAATATGTGAGACAGAACAGAAGCCTTTGCGACACCGATAAATATTTCAATGTATATATAAAACACATATAGTGTATATGTCGTGACGAATGAATTTCGAACAAAAAGGATACCACGTGTCTGCTCTATTTAAGAATAATTTAGGAACTAGAAAAAAACAAATTAAGAAAGCTGTAAACGCAGACATTCTCGAGAGTAGTCTTGTGTTTGAAGCTCGATTCAGAAACCGTGGTAAAAATATCTAGAAATCTGGGAGAAAAGATGTCGGCGTTTTCTTTTAGGTTACTGACACTTATTTAGGTTATGCTCACAATCATTAGAAGGGGAAACTATAGAAAACGGGAGACATGGACGTTGGGGTTCACATCGCACTAATGACGATCATTACTGAACTTGTGGGAGTGGTGACCAGCAGCTTATACATCATCATTACTCATTTGTTTTGTAAGTTAATTCAACTCAACAACCCAGTCCATCTAACCTATCATGTCTTAGCCTAACCTAACCATAGATAGATATATAGATGTTATTGTTGACCAGATCACACACTAGAAGGTGAAAGGACGACGACGTTTCGGTCCGTCCTGGACCTTCTCAAGTCGATTGTGGTCGATTCTAGTGTGAGGTCTGGTCAACATACTTCAGCCACGTTATTGTGACTCATCGCTTGCATATAGATGTTATTGTATAAGATTTAGCTACTCAGAACGAAATGTCCATGTAGCACGGGCTATAGTGAGCCCGTAAGAGATATAGAATTTTGGGTTTTATATATATATGTGGTATATAGAAGGTGTGTGACCTCAGTAGGGTGTCAAAATTTTCTTCCTGCTCTGGTTTTAGATTCCAACATCAGCAGCAGCTCGGTCAAGGATTTAAATCTGGTTTCCCTTACCTTCGGTCAAGGATTTGTAAAGCCAAAATGAACGTGACTTTTGAACGGGAGAAATGAACAGTGAACACTGAGGAGTTGGCTGAACATTGAACTTGATCTCAAAGGAACAGTTTATTAAAAGGAGTTTGACATTAAACCATTATATATTAAGTTGATTTAGGAGTTATTCAACCGCACGTTGACCACTTGGGCGTGACTCCTGTGCGCGGTCCATGTATGCCAGGGGTGAGTAAGGTGACTGTACATTACACTCAACAGGACCTGTTTGGTCACGGTGTTTATTTTCTCTGATATTATGGATCGTTCAAAATAACGCGTGCTCGCGATTGTGCATACAAACCTCCCCCATATGCATATAATACACACACACACACACACACACACACACACACACACACACACACACACACACACACACACACACACACACCCACACACCCACACGCACACATCTAATAGGTGAGTACACCCACACACGGTTGAGAGGCGGGACCAAAGATCCAAAGCTCAATCTCCGTAAGCACAACTGCGTGAGTACTAGATGAGTACACACACACACACACACACACAGACTGCATTTTCTTGGACTGTCAGAAAGCCTTTGACACAGTACCCCATAAAAGGCTGTTACAAAAGTTGGAGCAGCAGGCAGGAGTAAAAGGTAAGGTGCTCCAGTGGATAAGGGAGTATCTAAGCAACAGGAAACGTCGAGTAACTATGACGGGGGGGGGGGGAGGAAGTCTTCAGAGTGGCGAAATATCACCAGCAGAGTCCCACAGGGCTCTGTACTTGGACACATCCTGTTTTTAATATATGTAAACGCTCTTCCAGAGGGTATAGATTCATTCCTCTTAATGTTTGCTGATGATGCAAAAATTTTAAGAAGAATCAAGACGGGTGAAGATAGAGACTACAAGACGACCTGGACAAACTGGATGAATGGTCTAGAAAATGGCTACTAAAGTTCAACCCAGAAAAGTGTGAAGTAATGAAATTAGGCGAAGGGAGCAGAAGGCTGAACACAAGGTACCATCTGGGAGATGGAAATCCTGCAAGAATCAAATAGAAAGATCTGGGGTTTGATATCACAACGAACCTGTCCCCAGAAGCCCACATCAAAAGAATATCATCAGCTGCATATGCTAGACTGGCCAACATAAGAACTGCCTTTAGAAACTTATGTAAGGAATCGTTCAGGACCTTGTATACCACTAATGTCAGACCAATCCTGGAATATGCAGCTCCAGCCTGGAGTCCATACCTAGTTAAACACAATGTTAGAGAAGATTCAGAGGTATGCCACCAGACTAGTCCCGGAACTGAGAGGTATGAGCTACGAGGAAAGGCTAAGGGAGCTGAACCTCATGTCCGTGGAAAACAGAAGAGTAAAGGGAGACATGATAACCACCTACAAAATTCTCAGGGGGAATTGACAGGGTGGACACAGGAGGAAACTTAGTACCCAAATGAGCCACAAAGGCATTAGAAAGATTTTTTTTCAATGTCAGAGTAGTTAACAAATGGAATGCATTAATCAGTGATGTGGTGGAGGCTGACTCCATACACAGTTTCAAATGTAGATTTGATCGAGCCCAGTTGGCTCAAGATTCTGTACACTAGCTGATTGGCAGTTGAGAGGCGGGAACAAAGAGTCAAAAGCTCAACTCCCGCAAGCACAACTAGGCGAGTACAACTAGGTGAGTACACACACACACACACACACACACACACACACACACACACACACACACACACACACACACACACACACACACACACACACACACACTTGGCATAAATAATATTAACGTATTAAGTAAAAGACGGATTTGTATCTGGAGGTGCATTGAAATTCCCACTCGTTGAAAAATGTTGTTAAATAGTGAATATATCCCTTACGGTCTTACTGTAAAGGAAATGTATTCCTACTAACTGTTTATGTAATATTATTCATATTGCATAATATCCGGGACGGACCGAAACGTCGTCATCTCTTCATCTTCTGATGATGTGGTCATCATCAGAAGATGAAGTCATCTTCAGCCACGTTATTGTGACTCATCGTCCGCAGTATGTAAATAACCCGGAAGCTGCTGGATATATTTGAATCCAATTTGACGGGATGACGGGGCTTGTGGAAGGGAGAACAAGGTAGACTCACGAGATAGACTCATAGACTTGTTGCACTCGAGTATGCTCTTGAGTGCAACGAGAGCCTCGTGGAAGCCAAAATCGACGATTTATTTTTATACTTTGATCAATAAAAAGTTATGTAAGAAAGGTCGAGATCTGGCAATAAGATTAATAAAACACCTATAATAAATCTAGAAGAATTATTTCGTGTAACAAAGAACTGCAATGGAAAAAGAAAACACATTGAGTTTTTTTTGACTCAAATGAAACAAAACGCATTGACCCAAAACACGACAAAGAGACATGACATAAAAATTGTACCCAGTTGGTGAGAACACGAGACTTAACAAGGGCGATAATGGTATTAAACAAAATAAGTTATTTAATGACCCCTGGCAATTGAGCCTTAACTGCTGGGGGGTATATAAATATTACTTGGATTGCAGTGACCAATGTTTTGATTTCTTGAATGATTTATTGAATCATTCAAGAACAACTCCAGCTTCCCCAACCACCTCCGTTCTCTACTACGTCCCTCCACTATCCCACCAACTTTTCTATACTAACCTTTACACACCTCTCTACTATCCCACTATTGTTTACCTCACTATCTTCTCTCATTCCCTCCTAGTTACTATCTGTGCTGTACATAACTCTGCATGATCGCTATCTACTTTCTCCCCTCCCCCCCTCACACACACACACACACACACACACACACACACACACACACACACACACACACACACACACACACACACACACACACACACTTTCGATGACATAACCTGAACTGGTTTAATCACAAAAGTAAAAGTAAAAGTCGCCAATAACTTTCCCCTTTTACGACAATCCTTGTTCAGAAAGTCTCCAGTTTCTCCCTGTCTACTCTCATTAGCTTCCGTCTGAATTTTCATGTACCAACACCCGTCCCCCCCAAAACATATTCCTAATCAATCCAATCAACTTTCATGTCCAATCCGACGTACGTGTTGATGTATATTTTTGGCACAATAGCTTTGTTACGATGGCTGGGCAAAATTTTGTCGTTTGCTGCTGTTCATGCGAGCTGTTTGTGTCTACGAAGTGTTGGGTGTGAATACGAAAGGTGAACTTTGGGAGACTGGAACTTGCTGTGGCAGGTTCTGTCGCAAACCCCTGATATTTATGAGAGAGAGAGAGAGAGAGAGAGAGAGAGAGAGAGAGAGAGTTATATACTTATATAATTGCAAAATGAAAGATTGACATTCCCTGATGAAGGGAACTCTGCAGTGTGTGTGTGTGTGTGTGTGTGTGTGTGTGTGTGTGTGTGTATGCATGCGTGTGTGTGTGTGTATGTGTAGTGTGTAGAAATAATTCTGAGTAAGACAGTTCGGTGGGAATTTCCTGTGCATATCTTCTACGTATAACCTTCAGATGATTCTTGTGGCGGAAACCTCGACTCACTGTCTGGTTCCCCCCCCCCCCTTGCCGTGTGAGTTGAACGTCGCACGCCCTGTGTCTCCTGTCATTTGGATTTGCAATGCAATGAGCCAGCTCGGTGCAGCGAAGAAACCTTGCGAAACGCTAACAGTGGAGCTTAAGGCGATTTGTATTCAACCACAACTAACTTAACTGTCCATTTGCCGGAGTCAGAAGCATTATAAACTATGAAAATCAACCTCTATCTCTACCATAGTTACCATAAGCCCTTTTCTTGCGATTAAACCCCCCCCCCCCTCCAGTCACTATCAGTAACGTATCCCCAATCATTCTCTCCCACCTGCTACGGATTTCCAATCACCATTCCATTATGACCACCGCCACCACTAACATTCCGATTCACTCCTTCACTCCCTCTACAACGGCTGGAAGTCCTATCACCCTGGACCACGTCTGACAATGTGGAACCCAGCCAGAGGTCGGGGAAAGGTCACACACACACACACACACACACACACACACACACACACACACACACACACACACACACACACACACACACACACACACACACACACACCACACCTTCCAACCAGACTTGAGCAACGGGTTTGATGCCGCTACTCTCAAGAGCCTTCGGGCAACCGGCAAGGTGACTTTCCTTGCTGGGAGAGACAACCTCAGCCACGCACACACACACACACACACACACACACACACACACACACAGCCACACACACACACACACACACACACACACACACACACACACACACACACACACACACACACAGCCACACACACACACACACACACAGCCACACACACACACACACACATGCTGGTCACCCTTCTCACCACACACACACACACACACACAGCCGGCCACATAGAATGTCCAGCCGGCTCGCTAGACTCTTTGATTCCTAGGGATTATATATTGATTTGTTTAAGTAACACGTAAATGCTTTATAGAGTAATTGGTTTTACTGACTCTCACAGTTTTTCTGTTTTTAGTTTTGAGTTTGTTGATCTTTAAAAATATTTTAATGCTTTATATGATTTGTGTATAACATAAAAAAACTACTCTATATATATATATATATATATATATATATATATATATATATATATATATATATATATATATATATATATCGTACCTAATATAATAGCCAGAACGCACTACCTGGCCGAGTATGCAAGGCCCGACTTGCCTAATAGGCAGTGATTTTCGTTATTTAAATAAAAAATTAAAATCACAATGAGTTTATTTGAATTAGTATTTTTATATTACAATAATAACATGAATTGCTGACTTAATTGTGTTACTTTAGGTTATGTATGATAAGTTAGTTTAGGTAGGTCTCGTTAGGTTTAATCGGATTTCTTCGTCAGTTTTAACTCAAATTAAAAAGTTAATTAATTATATACAATATAATGGAAAAATTTATAAATTCATAAGGACAAATTTAGAAAAATATATAACGTTAGGAAAACTCGGCTTATTAGGCAAGCCAGGCCTTACATAGTCGGCCAAGTAGTGCGTTCTGGCTATTAGGTACAACATTATATATATATATAATATTGAGGCTTATAAGTCTATCACTCGAGTATACTCTAGAAGCCTCTGAAATTCTGGTATATTTCGCTTACTGAAGTATGCTAATGTATTTACATACTGCATTTGTATTGGTCAGTTACTGGAATTCAATTTTTTATTTTAATTGTGTATATATATTGTAATTTTGTTTTAGATCAATGAAATAATTTCAAAATAGGCTTGAAAGAGTTACATTAGAAGCGAACATTAGGGAGCTTGAAAGCTTTGTCTAGCGAGGAATTTACACGTCCAAAGGTGTCATGTGTAAGGAATATTGCGCATTTCAAGTTAGACACATGTGTGTTCGTGAGAATTATGGATACCAGCGTCAAGATTTTGATGGTTTAATGGTATTTAAGCACCTTAATATATGCGAACAAGCCTGAATGGTCCCCAGGACTATATGCGAATGAAAACTCACACCCCAGAAGTGACTCGAACCCATACTCCCAGGAGCAACGCAACTGGTAACTACAGGGCGCCTTAATCCACTTGACCATCACGGCCGTCAAAAGGAAGTGATAGCCGAGGCTATTTGAGCCACTTCCCTTCAACCTTAATATATATATATACGCTTCTTAGGACTAATGATCAGTGGCCTTGGTAGGAAAGGTAGGTTTTGTCTAGGTTCGTCTGCTTGTGGTTAAAATCACTTGAAATTCGACACTTGTTCAAGCTGAATATATATAAAAATACCGATAATCACAAATTCGGATACCAGTGAGCCGATTTACGCTTCAGGAACGTATCCGCAGTTGGTCGGGCCGGTTTGGGGAGGAAAGGACAGTCACTGTTCTGTCTGATTCGCTGATTTTTGCCACTCGCCACGGCTGTTATTCGCCAATATATTTCCAAAGGCTTTTTTTTTTATTTTTGTTTGAGCTCATGTATGGAAGATTTTGGATGTCGCGATTATGCACATCGCGCTCACAGAATATCACTATACCACTTCTACTAGTATAGACACCTCTATCGTGACCAAATTGGCTGGTCCTTATAAGTATTAAGGCAAAATCTCATCAAAGATCATGGAACAAAATTTGCAAAAGAGGATTAAATTCCATGAGTGAAGCTATGACGTGGCGCCCCACTGATACTACCCGGATTCACTATTCACTATACACACACCCCCATGCACCCCTAAACCCCTTTGTCCTTCACTGTTCCCGTTAAAGCACTTACCAGCGCCTGCCACGGCAACGAGGATTCCTACTGCAAGTATCCTCATGATGTCTGACACATACACACACACACAAGGGTAGCAGCAGCAGCGATGGCGTCTGGACAGAGAGTGGTCGTACACGCCTTCCGCCTCTCTCCTTTTAAGCTCTCGCCCTCCCCCCCACCCACACACCCCCCTAAATCTCCTTCTCCCCCTCCCCCCACACACACACTCCCCCCCATCTATCTCCTCCATCCCCCCCACCACAACCACCACCACCAAACTCCGCCCACAGCCACACACAAGGGTATTAAATGGAAAATTCCTTGTCTCCTTGCACCATTTTTCCGTTTTGGTTTCCTTCGATTGTGTTTCTGATTGAGAGAAGATGCTGCGACACAAGGTCGGAGGAGAGGGCTCTCTTAAAGGAGGGGGAGGAGGGGGATTGAGGAAGGGGGAGGGGGTTGATGATTAGGGGGAGGGGGGGGGAAGGAGATGAGACACAAACGAAAGCGAGACTCAGACCGACGCCCGGCGGAGTTTTGTTCGGTCTCACTCCCCTGCCCCCCCTCGCTTCCCCCCCCCCTCTACCTCTAAGTCCACACGTAGTCAGCCTGTATAACTTCTCTCTCTCTCTATCTGTCTCTTCTCTCTCTCTCTCTCTCTCTCTCTCTCTCTCTCTCTCTCTCTCTCTCTCTCTCTCTCTCTCTCTCTCTCTCTCTCTCTCTCGTCTCTCTCTCTCATCTCTCTCTCTCTCTCTCTCTCTCTCTCTCTCTCTCTCTCTCTCTCTCTCTCTCTCTCTCTCTCTCTCTCTCTCTGTGCGTTTGATATTCCGCATCATTTTGCCTTTAAGACTGACACGAGTATCTAATAACACCCTTCTATACACAAATTCCTCTCACGGACATTGGGTATTTGAACCAAAAAAGCAAGTTGGTGCATTTTGAAAACCTGATAAGTTCAGTTTCACCATTTCGGGAGTCGAATTCTGATTGGCTAGAGAGAGTGACGTCACGAGCGCTATATAGCGAGGGTGTGACGACAACAAAGGCAGAGATTATATGGTCGTTGTCTGCTGTGTTTGGCCTCTGCGCCTCTTCCCAGATGCTTCGTACTCCATTAGGGTCTAAAACCTGTACCGGAATGAACGTTATAACGTCATAGTGACGTCACCTACGTCATCCCACACTATATATAAAGCACAAACAATTTGGTTTCATATTTTCGTTAGGTTAGAGTAGGTTAGGTTAGGTTAGATTAGGTTCGGTTAGCTTAATTTAGCTTAGGTTAGGTTAGGTTAGATTAGGATAGGTTAGGTTAGATTTGCTTAAAGATTAGTGATGGCGTACACAGTTTTCTCAGGTCTTAGACCTTTATAGTGTAACGAGGAAGGGTACACTATGGTGAGTCCTCTACGGGCTCACCATACCCCGTGCTACTTGGAACTTTTTGTTCCCAGTAGCTGAATCTACAACAAGTAAGCAAGCTTCACTATACCTGAACAGGGTTCTCGAGGTGCAGGTGAGTGTGTGTGTGTGTGTGTGTGTGTGTGTGTGTGTGTGTGTGTGTGTGTGTGTGTGTCCTCGTTACATCGTAACAATCGTACGAGTGGTCGTAATTATACCATTGAATATGCATTTAGATATAAAATTCAAGCAGGTCCTTTGGCTAGACAATAAGGTGGTATATATATATATATATATATATACATCATAAATATATGTGGGTGATATATGATTGTAATCATCTAATTGTTGTGGACTTAGGGGACTGTATTTGATTATTTAGTGTAATGCTTCGTTAATTTTCAATGTAAAAACTTAACCTAACTTAACTTATCGTAACTTAATCGTGTCTCTGAGCAGTCGTACCATGCAGTTAAGTTCGCTACAGGCACATGGGTATTATCTACTTCATATAAAATTATTTTGATTTATTCATATAAACAAATATATATATTTATATATATTTATATATATACAGTATATTATAACATAAATTTTTGAACCCCCTCAGAGACTATAATGGCCTGGCCAGTGATGATTATTGTGATAACTTTGTCAGTGATGGGTATAGTGATGAGCTGATCACTATATATCAACAGTATGATGACCAGATCATTCGTATGATAATATATTAACACATTCAAACCGCTTTCTCACTGAAGCGAATTTAAGTTTTTTTCATTATCTACAGCAAATTCTTATAGTGATCAGAATCTTGAACACCTGGTTGATACAACACCTGAGACAAGTAATTGCATATCACCTGTCAGGAAATTATTATAATGAGCTCAGACAAACAGCTCATTATAACCAAGCAAAAAAAAAAAACTCATCAGGAACCAGTATACAACAATTCATCAAAGCCAGGCTTAAATACTCTTCTACGTCATCATTTAGATAAGAAACTCATCGACACCAAACTCAGTCAAACGACCCATCAAAGCCAATCTCAGCCAAACAACCCAAGCCAAAGCCAGCCAAACACCCTGAGCCAAACTCTCTGATCATGCAACCCGACCATCAGTGTTGCCAGAAAAGAAAGCTGGGTTACACTGTTGCCAAGCAAGCGTGCCACGAGGTTTCAGACCGCGGAACTTTTAACAAAATAGCCCGACAGTGTTACCAGACCTTGCTCTTGAACGCTGTGTGTGTGTGTGTGTGTGTGTGTGTGTGTGTGTGTGTGTGTGTGTGTGTGTGTGTGTGTGTGTGTGTGTTGCCACCTTGGCATTCTTACCCCACTTTGTGTTGAGGGGAGTGGGGGTTAGGGGGGGGGGTTAAAGGGGCGATTTAAGGATAGGGAATGCTGGGATGATGGGGGTGGAGGTGGTTAAGGATAGGAAGACCTTGGTAGGGGTATATTGAGAAATAAATGGGGATTGGGGACAGAGAAGGCTGGATGTGAGAGGAATTACCAGGGGAGGGGTAGGGGGGGGAGGAAATGCTGAGGGGGGGGGGAGATAAGGATAGGTAATATTGAGGGAAGGGAGGAAAGCTAACATTGACCGTAGGGAACTAACGTTAAGGGCCATAAGCGAAAGAGGGGAACTAGAAACAGCGATAAGTCAAGGAGACAAAATGGTTAAAAAATAAACAAAGGCTGATAAATACAGAGGGTGAGAATGTGTGAGACAAAGAGAGAGAGAGAGAGAGAGAGAGAGAGAGAGAGAGAGAGAGAGAGAGAGAGAGAGAGAGAGAGAGAGAGAGAAGGATAATAAATAGAGAGAGCTTGAGAGACAAGAATGCAAATCGAGCATTTTCAGACAAAGAGCAACAGAACAACAGGGCCAGCCAAAGAACAACAGAACAACAGGGCCAGACAAAGAGCAACAGAACAACAGGGCCAGCCAAAGAACAACAGAATAACAGGGCCAGACAAAGAAGAACAGAACAACAGGCCAGCCAAAGAACAACAGGACCAGACAAAGAGCAACAGAACAACAGGGCCAGACAAAGAACAAGAAAACAACAGGACCAGACAAAGAACAACAGAACAACAGGGCCAGACAAAGAACAAGAGAACAACAGGGCCAGACAAAGAACAACAGAACAACAGGGCCAGACAAAGAGCAACATAACAACAGGGCCAGACAAAGAACAACAGAACAACAGGGCCAGACAAAGAGCAACAGAACAACAGGGCCAGACAAAGAACAACAGAACAACAGGGCCAGACAAAGAACAAGAGAACAACAGGGCCAGACAAAGAACAACAGAACAACAGGGCCAGACAAAGAACAAGAGAACAACAGGGCCAGACAAAGAACAACAGAACAACAGGGCCAGACAAAGAGCAACAGAACAACAGGACCAGACAAAGAACAACAGAACAACAGGGCCAGACAAAGAACAACAGAACAACAGGGCCAGACAAAAGAATGGTTAGAAAGTTAATGTTAGGACAGTTTGTGTGAACCAAAGACAGAAGGAAAGAGAGGGAGAACAAGAACAACACAAGCGTAAATAAGTAGAAATAAGTAAAAATTAAAAATAATTGCAGTTATTAAAATAATAAGAACATAAAGATTAAATTAGATTTAAATCAAAACAAAACAAAAAGGAAATTTTAGAAAAATAACTAAGCAAGAAAACTACAATAGAAAAACAAATCAGAAACAAAAACAGGAAAAAATAAAAATAAACAGGAATTTAATAGAAGAAATTTAAATAATATTTCAACCTTAACAATAATGCTAATAATAATAATTATGATAATAATAATAACAATTATAAAAGTATCCATGATAATAAAAATTTAAGCCACATAATTCAATTAATACAAAAAAGTTATTCATTTCCACTCTGCCTTGTCTTGAATAAAGAAATTAAGAACACCTGAAGAGTTATTCATTTGGATTGATTGCTGTCTTGAATGGGTCAGGAAGTTGTGTATAAGCAGTGCACAAGTGTAGGAAAATATTATTGAGACGTGAGGAAAATATTATTCATTTTTCACATGGATATTCCTGTTGGATTATGAGATGGGAGACAGAAAGTGTAATTCACTTATAGTAAGGATTATTGTTCAATTATTCACTTAGAGAAAAAAAAGGAGAAAACAGTCACATTATTCATTTATAGAAGAGAAAGCCCATCACTTTATTCATTTGAGGACAAAAATAGTCATGTTATTTACGTAGAGAGGATAAAGTAAATAACTGATTTATTCACTTTAAAAGGAGGAGAAAACAGTTAGATATTCACTTGAGGAGGAGGAGAAAGCATTAAAGTTATCACTTGAGGAGGAGAAAGTATTCAGGTTATCACTTGAGGAGGAGAAAGCATTCAAGTTATCACTTGGGGAGGGGAAAGTTGTCATGACATTCGTAGATTGGAACTTGAGAAGTCTAATAGGCTTCCTGTCCCAGACATTGGGAAAAGGTTATACCATTTGTGATTGACGTAAAGGATGAGTAAGGGAGAAAATGGGAGCAAAAGAGAGAGAGAGAGAGAGAGAGAGAGAGAGAGAGAGAGAGAGAGAGAGAGAGAGAGAGAGAGAGAGAGAGAGAGAGAGACGGAGAAATAGAGAGATATAGATATATCTGAAGAGACAGACAGAGAGGAGAGTTCTAACACAGAAATAGAAAACAGAGAAAGATACAGACTTAAAATATAATATGTACATAGGAAAGATAATAATCTAGA